CCCTCTCCCCTCCCCCTGTCCTCTCCCCTGAGTGCCCACCCTCCTCCCTCACCCCAATTCTCCCCCTCTCAGCCCCTCCTCACACCCAGTCTGAATCCTGCCCCCCACACCCCCACCCTGAGTCCTGCCCCCCACACCGCAACCCCCTGCTTTGAACCTCCAGGCATTCCACCTTAAATTTCTCAGACGTACTGTCATATTGCAACCCCTCCCAGGGTGTGTAAGATACACACAACCAGTGTTCCCTGGGGCAATCCAGCGACACGGGATTAATCAGCCCCACCCACGCAGAGGCTCAGGACGGGGCTTATTAATCACCTTTTAAGCTGGGCTGCCGCGCAGTTTGGAGGGAACCCTGGACAGTACCTGTAAGAAATGTACGTTAAACACAGCGGTGAAAGTAATTTCTAAAACTGCAGATTAACAGCCACCCCCTGCATTTCTATTACTGCCCAACTCTACAGGTGGTCCCCGAGTTACAAACGCATCGACTTACGACCGTTCGTCCTTATGACCAACCTCCCATTAAGCACATTACAGCCGGTCCCCGAGTTACAAACGCGATCCGCGCTTACAAACAGCGCGGTCACATTTAAATGAACGGGGTCTGACTTACGAACAGATCGAGTTACAACCAAGTGTTTGGTACGTAACTCGTTTGTAAGTCGGGGACTATGTGTACAGAGAAATAGGCTAGAAAGTTGTTTTATTCAAACGATCGATCTGTCTCACTCCCTTCCCTGTTAGAGTTTGCAACACCCACTTTGGCTGGTCTGGTCAGTATCCAGATTGGAGCCCTCCCGAGATAAGTTTCCAGGCTGCAGGAAGTGATGTCGGTCACTCTGTGGGGGACACTTCCTGTCTCCCTTTCGTCAGGGATCTCGATATTGAGCTTCCTGGAACGTTAGTTAACAAGATTTGTTTTCTAACGTGACCTAATTGCCTAGCAAAGATGAGCCCCAGGAGTTGGTGGTGAACCCGATGCCTGAGAATGGGGCTGTGGGTTGCTGTGTTTGCATCGCAGACAGAGGCTCAGCTGGTGGAGATGGGTGTAACCTCCATTGAAATCAGAGCTGTGCCCATTTACGCTACTGGAGGATCCGGCCTAGTATCTTCCAGCTGATATTTAAAGAGGTTGGCTGAGTCTGGTCGTATAAATCCCTTAATCAGCCAATCTCCCCAAAAGTCGCTTTAATAATGAGCCAGATTTATGTAGTGGAACTTACAAAGGCAGCTCGGCACCTACCTCCGGGGGAGGGAGGCGACAGACTTACTGTGCTGGAAGGGATGGCACCTCAGGGAGAAGGCGGAGGCAGCCAGCCCTCGGTGCCACCCAGAGGGCGCTGCACCCTGTCCCACCCAGTCCTCAGAGCTGCCTGGAGCATGCCTCACATTGCTCCGTCGGAGATTTAAAGGGCCCAGGATGCTGGCTGCCACTGTTACTGTTACCGGGCCTCCCGCTTCTGCCCCCCCTCAGCAGGCCTGCCTGCCTCCCACTGAAAGCCAGTGAGATTTAGATCTGAACCCCCGGAGGATACATCTGTGTATCGAGTGGGGTGGGATTCCCAGCTCGGGGAGAAATACACACCCTTGTAAGGCAGCGTAAGGGGCTAGCCGCCCTGAGCACACGCCTCCGGTGTCGAATCCGTGCTCAGAGTACGGATGTGAACGTGCACTTGTTTACACAATTATTGATGAGCCTGGGCTCATTGGTTAATCCTAAAGGCAGAACCTCCCCCCCCCCCCCCCCCAGGTGGGAGCCGGTGCGCGTGGGGAGCCGGTTTTTAAGGTAGAGACAGTAGTGTGTGTGTGTGTGTGGGGGCAGCAGCATGGTGAAGGGAGGGTAGGCAAATGGGAGCTGGTGGTTGCACCTTCCCCGGGCATTTAAACGCGGAACCACTAGAAATATCAGCAGTTACACATTTACAAAAATACACGCATTTTAGCATCCCTAATTCGGAGTGACTAGCTTCTCCTCTGCTTGCTCCATCGTGGCTGCCCTCTGTTTCTAGCATGCTCACCTGCTCAGAGCTAACAGGGGTAGTTGTCCTCCAGCGGGGATTCCCATGCCTCGCTCAAAGCCCACATGGATCTATGGGGGCATTTGCTTTTTCGCCACTTGGCACCCACCTGCATCTTTTGTTGCCTTGTGAATCTGGCCCAGGAAGGTCTGTTTCACCTCGACAGAATCGTCCCGGTCAAACCTCTTCAGAACTTTGTTAAAACCTTTCACCCATGGAAAATTTCCGGGGCTTTCGGCAAGTGGACAAAATCCGTCTGTTTAGCCAACTTCACACTCCTCTGGTGAGGTGTTTGGCATAAATACATAATTATACCAGTGGGCGTATTGGCATCCCATGAATATAATCTGAAATTATGAAGTAAAACTTTGATAAATGTGGTCTATTATGTGGCACCACCTATTAAGGAAGAATTATTCATTTGTGCCTCTTGCGGTATCATTTATTTTTGCATTATACACAGCCTCTCATGCTGTATGGCCCATTGATTCTTCTCTACTGTATCCTGCTGATTCTCACCTGTTTAAAAACAAATTAGTTTACCCCACTGAGGTTGAAAGAATCGAAAATAAAAGCATGTTCTCGTTAAACATCCACGGTTCCCACCTTTGAGGCACAAAAATAAATAAATAAGAATGGAGCATCTGGGAGGAGCCCCAGAGCTCACCACTGGACAGCTGGCAGCATGTACCAAGCACCCTTACAAATGTCTCCAGAGGGTTGTCTCCAAAAACCTCGTGCTCTGGGAAAGCCAGGACAGGTGGTCACGCTGTTACTAGCCTCCCCCCGCTCCGATACCTTCTGCAGCCCATTGTGCTCAAGCCCCTGCAGCACCTGTGAACAGATATCGCTTGGGAAACTCACAAGCTTTTCTGTATCTAGGATCCTCAGGGATTTGGGGGTCTCAGGTTTCAGCAAAATGCTTTTAACCGTCACAGGCAGATGGTGCAAAACCAGGGTTCAGTCTCCTATGTGGAGAACCCCTTAATCCTGTCAGCCTCCGGGTCTCGCTCTAGCCCACTTCCTCGTGTGTGTCTGCAGGCTGCTGGAGGCGGCACGATGCCAGGCTGTAAGTCAGGGGCGGGGGCCTTGTTTGCGTCGGGGGCCGCTGACCCACAGAAATAGCACTTGGGGGCTGCACAGAAGTGAGAAGGGGGAAAAAAAATCTCCCTGAGTCAGCCCTTGAGTGGGAAGCAGAGAGACACTCCCCGGATCCCCCTCACACACCGGTGCCCAGGGGGGCCTGGGCTGGGAGGTTTTGTGGGGGAAAAGCCTCCAGGAAGCACTTTACTGCACTAGCCAAGGGGCGGGGAGCGGTAGCACCTGAAGCTGCTTCCTCCCCTGCCAGGCAGCAGCCTGTGGATCAGATCCGGCTCCAGCTGGCCTGACTCCGGCCCGTGAGATGCGGGCTCCTCCCTCCACAGCAGGGAGCCATTGCTGGCGCATCAGTCCCACAGTGCGCGCGGCAGGAGGGGCGTGTCGCTGGAGCACCAGTGCGGGTTCCCCAATGCTGGGGAGGGGGAACATAAGAACATAAGAACGGCCGTACTGGGTCAGACCAAAGGTCCATCTAGCCCAGTATCCTGTCTGCCGACAGTGGCCAGCACCAGGTGCCCCAGAGAGGGTGGAGGACTGAAGACAATGATCAAGCGATTTGTCTCCTGCCATCCCTCTCCGGCCTCTGACAGACAGAGGCCAAGGACACCATTTTATCCCCTGGCTAATAGCCTTTTATGGACCTAACCTCCATGAAATTATCTAGCTTCTCTTTAAACTCTATTATAGTCCTAGCCTTCACAGCCTCCTCTGGCAAGGAGTTCCACAGGTTGACTACACGCTGTGTGAAGAAGAACTTTCTTTTATTAGTTTTAAACCTGCTACCCATTAATTTCATTTGGTGTCCTCTAGTTCTTCTATTTAGGGAACTAATAAATAACTTTTCTTTATCGGCCCTCTCCACACCACTCATGATTTTATAGACCTCTATCATATCCCCCCTCAGTCTCCTCTTTTCTAAACTGAAAAGTCCCAGTCGCTTTAACCTGGGAGCCGCTGACCCACAGAAATAGCACTTGGGGGCTGCACACAAGTGAGAAGGGGAAAAAAATCTCCCTGAGCCAGCCCTTGAGGAAGGGGAGGATCCAGGCACGCCAGGGGCATTAGGTTCCCCACCCCTGCTGCAAATGGACCCTAACATTCTAAAATTTTACAGTCTGATGAACGTCAAAAAGTGAATGAAAAAATGTGACCAGTTCTAACACTCCTTTCCTTCCCATAGCATCCTGAGTGCGGGCCCCTGAAACTAGCTCCTGAGAAAAGTCAAAAGCCCCTCCCACTGGCTTTGTTTTAATTGAATTCATTCATTCATTTGAAGAAAGAAAGCCCACGTCTGTATTTTGTTTTGCAGGATCCAGCTTGTTTGGGGCTTCTGCCTGGCGAGAAGGTCAGAAGCTGGTGAAAAAGTTGCTTGGGCCTCCTCCTAAATTTCCAAAGCTGGGGAGCATGTTTGAAGAGCAGAGCCCGCAAAATGACTCTGGTACAGTTACTTGTAACTTCTAGGTTATGGAACAGGGGAGAGATCAGGGTCTTTTATAATGGAGCTGGTCCTAAAACAGACCCCTGAGGAACCCCACTCGGTATGTCCTTCCAGCATGACTGAATAACTACTCTCCGAGAACGGTTATCCAGCCTGTTATGCACTCACCTTATAGTAGCCCCATCTAAGTTGTATTTGCCTAGTTTATTGATAAGAAGGTCATGCAAGACCATATCAAATGCCTTACTAAAGTCTAGGTATACCACGTCCACCGCTTCTCCCTAATCCACAAGACTCGTTATCCTCTCAAAAAAAACTATCAGATTTGTTTGACATGATTTGTTCTTTACAAATCCATGCTGGCTGTTACCTATCACCTTATTTTCTTCCAGATGTTTTCAGATGAATTCCTTAATTACTTGCTCCATTATCTTTCCTGGCACAGAAGTTAAACTGACTGGTCTTTAGTTTCCTGGGTTGTTCTTATTTTCCTTTTTATAGATGGGTACTAGATTTGCCCTTTTCCAGTCTTCTAGAATCTCTCTCAACTTCCATGATTTTTCAAAGGTGATAGCTAATGGCTCAGACACCTCCTCTATTAGCTCCTTGAGGATTCTAGGATGCATTTCATCAGGCCCTGGTGATTTGATGACATCTAACTTTTCTAAGTAATTTTTAACTTGTTCTTTTTTAAAAAAAATCTTCTAAACTTACCCCATTTCCACTAGCTTTCACTCCATTAGGCATTCCTTCATCATCATACTTCCCGGTGAAGACCGAAACAAAGACATCATTAAGCACCACTGCCATTTCCAAGTTTCCTGTTGTTGTTTCTCCCTCCTCACTGAGCAATGGGCCTACCCTGTCCTGGGTCTTCCTCTTGCTTCTAATATATTTGTAAATAACCAACTAACTAACTGTTGCTTTAAAATGTTGTTACAGAACCTGGTAAAGAATTTATAACAACCCCACAGAGGGAACAAAGCTCTAGAGAAAGTGGTGGAAGTGATCACATGGGGAACAGCCCTCCGCAGGAAAGCTATCAGACTACAGCAGGCAGGTCCACTGAAAATGCACTGAGCAGAGATGCAAAGCAAATATTAAGGGATCTACATTTGCCAAACCAATCTTGTGAGGAATACAGAAGTTCAAAGCAACAGAAAGGTACCACCACCGGAAACGCAGAAGATCCAAAGTCGCGTCCAGAAACCAATCCTTCTTCAACTAAAATCAATGGCATAACTCCCTCTGATTACAGCAGAGACAAGACCAGGTCCTCATTAATGAGAACTGGAATAGAGCCAAGAAATTGCCACAGAGGAAAAAGTGCATCTCTTCCAAGAAGAAATGGCTCAAACAGCCCAGGACAGAAAGTATTGGAGAAGGAAAATGTTAATCAGCCTGCTAAAAAGAGTATAAATGTCAGGAAATCGCATTCCTACAGCCTGGAAGAAGTGCATGAATTTATGCACCGAAAGGTTGAGGAAAGAAAGAAGAAAAACCTAGAAGAGAAAAAGTCTTTCAAGCAGGCCAGAGAGACAAGAGCTCAGAGACTGCAGGAGTTGTACAGGAAACAGAAGGAAGCTTTTGCAAAGAAACCATGTTCCAGGGTGGCACAAACTTTAAACAGGCAAACTGTGCGTGCAACACAAAGTTCTCAGTATAAACTTGCCCAGGTAAGTACAGAAAGGAAAATAAATGAACAAGGATGGTGATAGAGCGGGAAAAAAAATACCGCGGTTCTGTGTTTGGAGGCAATTTAAGTGTTTGTATAAATGGAGTCAAATCTGGATAAATACAGGCATTAAAATTTTAATGGTGATGATCCCTTCTGGGGTTATCCGTGGGGTTGGAACTCTTGATCATTGGATGCAAAAGCATGAGCTTCCGCAGCTTGAACTGAAAGAATAATGTCTCTGCTTGGCTCTGTAGTAGACTCTTATCTGATTATGTAGACCAGCTATTAGGTGGCGTGAAAGACTAAACCGTGTTTTGTTGATCCATAGATATTTAGAAATCACATTCATAGTTCCTCTTTCATTTCAGGAACAGACAACGAAAAGGAGCCCGGAAAGGAATTTTACGGAGTGGGTGCCTAGAACATCACATGCTTTATTGAGAAGTGAGGAGCAGGGAAGGAGGTATTTTATGAGCCATCAAGATATAAATGTGCATCTCTTAAGCCCTTTCCCTAGCGTTAGTGTTTCCTGTAAGCTGTGCACTGGTACAGCCACTCAGGAGAAATTCAAAGGCTGCCCAACTGGTTAGCAGAGTGCCAACAGCTAGGTAAATTAGTTTATTCGGCATAGTCAAAGAAGTGGGTATTTAAATAATCCCCGCTTCATTAAAATAAACATGGCCGCCGCGCTGTGCCGACGATCAGCTGATCCGACAGCGCAGCAGTCTAGATGCGGATCTGTCGGCCAAGGAAACCTTTGCCGACTGATCCCTTATGCCTCGTGAAAGGAGGTTTACAGGATCAGTCGCAAAGGCTTCCCCAGCCGACAGATCCGCGTTTATACTGCCGCGCTGTGTCGGATCAGCTCATCGTCGGCACAGCACGGCGGCCATGTTTATTTTAATGAAGCAGAGATTATTTAAATCCCCACTTCTTTGACTATGCCGAATAAACTAATTTACATGGCTCCGTCGATGGAACTTTAGTTTACCAGCCTGCCGATAGGAAGAGAGTAATACTTCATAGGTACCTCGTGGTACCTCTTCGGTCCTGGATTTATCCAGAATTTTCTAATCTATATAGAACATAAATCTTTCTGTCTCGTGAACTGCCTAATTCTTTGTCTGGTGTCCTTTAAAGGTCAGGCTGACCTCTGTGATTGTATCTTACTTCCTGCCCTGATGTGGCTTCTCTTTGTATTTAAACAGAGACTTACTTCCAAAGACAGCTCGGCCACCCGAAGCAGCAGAGACATTCGATTTTCCTTCTTCCCTGGCATCTGAAAGTGGGGATCTCAGCCCTTTGAACCTTAAAGACCTGGCAGTCAGCCCTTTGCCAACGTGGTACCAACCTCCTCAGGGCTTTCTCCTTGCACTGAAAACTGCAAAATCTGGCCTCAAGGACTCAGCTTCTGCGGACACTTCCAGCCGCCCTCCCTATAAAAGCACACGGGATCGAGTGAAGGCCATTCACTCCCTAGCCACGGAGCTTGGTGAGCGGATTGAGGCAGCAACGGAAAGGCTGAGGAGAACAAGCAGGCTGCAAGACCCTGGTGGCAACAGAGGAGAGGAATCTGTAGAACCTCCCCGTTGGGCTTCTCCATGCCCCAAGCCCAAGATGCCTAAGAGTGAGAGAAACAGGACCATGAACATCCTGGGTGTTCCAAGCCCTAATGGCTTACGGACGCTGTTAGACTGTGCACCAGATGGACTGGATCAGACTCTCTTCTTGCCTAGCCCCGAAGGAGCAGAAGCCCAGAAGAGGAAGGAACAGATACAGGCTCTTCTGTCCGACACAGCTGCCGTTACTGAGGGGTTACCATGGAGTTCCAATTCTGAGATGCACGGGAAAACCCAGAAGGATGTGTGCAAAGGTAGGGTGCGATGTTGCGTTAGTGTTGCGGGGCATGGTGTTGCGTTAGCATGACGGGGCGTGGTGTTGCGTTAGCATTGCGGGGCGTGGTGTTGCGTTAGCATGACGGGGTGTGGTGTTGTGTTAGCATTGTGGGGTGTGGTGTTGCGTTAGCATTGCGGGGCGTGGTGTTGCGTTAGCATTGCGGGGCGTGGTGTTGCGTTAGCATGACGGGGTGTGGTGTTGTGTTAGCATTGTGGGGTGTGGTGTTGCGTTAGCATTGCGGGGCGTGGTGTTGCGTTAGCATTGCAGGAGGTTTTAAAGGCATGAAGTGAGAGTGATCCATGCAGCTTCCATTGATGTTCAACACTGTAGGGTGACCAACCAGAAAATGTGAAAAATCAGGACAGGAGGTGGGGGGAATAGGCACCAAATAAGAAAAAGTCCCAAATCCTGGGACTGTCTCTATACAATTGGGACATCTGCCCACCCTCCAATGGTCCCTCTTGCCTTTGAAAACCCCCCTCTAGAGAAGAGCTGGAAGGGGCCAGGTTCTGGTTGTAGCAGTATGAAGGGAACATTTTACCCCCGTTAATAGAGGCAGGGGCTGTCTGGATCACCAGATCGGAGCCCGTCAGACTCTGGGGAAGCTCTTCTCAGATCAGAAAGTCCCAGCCAGCTCTCATGGTGACGTTAGCTGTTTGCATGGCTATGGGCTTAGCGGGAATTATCCTGCGCGGGGAGGGAAATGTCTGGCCACCGGATGCTTGGAGCGCGACGCTGCACCAAAATAAAGACTGCTCCTGCTCTGCTGGCTGAGAAGAGGGTGGGGTGTGCAATTCTAGACATGGGAATAAAATTAGATTCCCCAGCCGTTCATCGTATGCTCTTGTGCACACGGAGGAAGTCGGGATACCAGGGGCCGGGCTGGATTGAGAAGTTCACTCTAGAAAACTGGGATAAGGGTATTGGGTTTGGTCTCCTTTCTTTGCACCTGTGAAGCTACAGATCTGGGGTCTATGTCTGGCTCCCCCCTTTCCCGCCCCCACACCTCATGCCTCAGTTTCTCCATTTGCAAAATGAGAATAATAATGCCAGCCCAGCTTTCTGAAGTACTTGGAGATCTTTGGATCAAGAGACCCATATAAGAGCTCAGTGCTTGTGTGAGTAGAGGGAGAAGAACATGGGCTAACTATTTTCATTTCTTTGACGAGTGTGTTTATTAAAAACGTCCATTTGTCTCTTTCAAAGGTTTCATTGCAAAGAAGGAATCGGATGTGGAAATGTGCCTACTGCGAAGCATGCCAATTGCCAGCATAGCTTCTCCATCTGCCACATACTTCACTAGAAGGTAAACAAATCTGGTTATATCATTCTCTGTTAACTGCTTTGTGCACACATACAGTTCAAATCAATGGCAGCAAATTCAGCACGGAGTACCGATGCTCTTTTCCCCTTACTCAGAGAACGGCCAAGCAGGCTGATTTTGCAACAAGACAGACACATATTGGGAGTCACCAATTTGTACAGCTCGAGCAGGTCAATAGAAAAGTTTGGACAGCAGCCTTTTCAAATGAGGGTCCTGATCCACGAAGTGTGAACCTTGAGCAAAACATGCCCTGGAGTTTAGAGGGGATTGGGACTTGGATTTCTCAATCTCTCTCCATCCGCCCCCCAATTCCTTTTCCGAAATGGCCACCCCAATATTACCCCAATGCTGCTCGAAGTCCTTAGCTGCCCTGGAGAAGGGAGAGCAGGGCTAAACCATCGCCTGCCATTTGCAGCACAGTCTGCAGAGGGTTAGGGACCAGAAACTTAAAGCAAAACTCAGCTGTTGCGTTGTGCCGGATTCCTACCACACCTGGGATTGTGCAGAACTCAGCCCAGGAGTTGGGTTTGTACCACCGGGGTCCGAAGGCAGCTGGAACGGAGGGTGCGTGTCTTGGCTTTCCTCGAGCTAGCGTGATCAAAGGAGAACGTAGCCATGGCTCCGTTGGCTGGGGGGCAGGCTCGCCGCTACGAGACCTCACCCAGGATCTCGACAGAAATGTGGGGCTAGAAGAACAGGAGGCCATCTAATCGGTACTCCCCCTGCAGCAGGATAAGTCATTTCTGGCAGAGGTCTGTCCAACCTGTATTTAAAGACCTCCCACGACGGGGATTCCACAGCCCCCCAAAGGTATTTCTAGCTGCAGTCAGACACCCACGACTGGCCCAGGCCAGCTGAGTTAGGGCGAAGGGGATGTGGTGGGAGGGGAGAACCAACGTCAGCCCAAGTTCTGGGATGTTGCCACCTCGCAGGGTCCTAGAATCTGACCCAAACCTCTCCAGTCTGGGCCCAAACCTCTACATCTCAGTGAAACAGCCTTGTATAGCCCGAGCCCCGAGAGCCCGAGGCAGCTGGTATGGGCCAGCTGTGGGTGTGTAACGGCAGGGCAGACCTACCCAAAGTGACTTTCTTAACACCCCTGAGCACTGGAACGTTTTTCCTGCTTTCTCACCTTCATCTCTTGCCCTCCCCGCGGCGGACCTGGGGAACGACGGATCCCCTCATGCTCATCGAGCGCTGCTGGATCGGGGGCATGAAGATGAGGCGAGAGAAAGCCTCCCTTTTATGCTAGATCAGGCGACTTAGTAAGTGGTGGGCCCAATCCTGCAGAGGGCTGGGGCCCTTTGTCTCATTCATTTCACTGGAGGGAGAGCACCCAACGCCCTCCCGAAGGCCTGGCAGGATTTGGCCCCGCAAAGGTAATATCTTCCGGGTACAGTTCAATGATTGCCCACTAGGGAGCGCTGTTAACCTGCAGACCCCTTTAGAGCAGCGTTCTCCAACCGTTTTAAGCATGAGATCACTTTTGAATGTAAGTGCAATCAAGGAGTAATCCAGGATCCACCTCAAACCCAAATATGCTGGCCCCGCCCCCTTTCTCCAAGGCCCCGCCCCTGCTCGTTCCATCCTCCCTCCCTCCCCCATCACTCCCTTTTATCAGGCGGGGGTGTGATGGAGGGGGATGTGGTCTCTGGTCTTGGGCGAAAGGATTTGGAGTGTGGGAGGGGCTCTGAGCTGAGCCTGGCACAGGGAGTTGAGGTGCAGGATACAGGCTCCGGGAGGGATGTTGGGTGCAGGGGGAGAGAGCCAGAGCCCTGGGCACTTTAAATCTCTGCTGGAGCACCGTGCTGCGTGCTCCGGGCAGTGCAGAGGGCTGGGGGAGAGCGTGCCGGGCTCTGGGTGGCACTGAGGGCTGCCTGGGGGCCGGCATGGTGCGCTCCAGGTGGCGCTCAGGGCTGGCTTCCCTGTCCCTGCCCCTTCCACGAGTGCGAACCTCCCCCCCCCCACACCTTGTTCAGAGGCCCGTGGAGGCTGTCAGAGCCCCTGCCCAGCATAGTTAGATGTCACAGCACGCGTTGTCGTGGGGAGCACACCTCCGACCCTAACTTGCAGCCCTTGGTCCTGATCCCGAAAAGTAATGAGCCTCCACAGCATCCCAGCTCCTGTGTCCAGGCCTCTTCTGTGAGCATAACACAATGAGAATTTTGCAGGCAAAAGGGAAATTCATTGCTTAAAAATCCCTTACCAGAGATCCTTGTGAATATGAAGCCCAGTTGTCCCACTTACAGTCAGAACCTTGAGTCGCCGTTTTCTAAATTTCGGAAAACGTTAGTGCCAAGCTTAACGTTATGGTCTAGAGGGCATCTAGGTTTGTTTAGTCTAGAAAAGAGAAGACATAGGCTTTGTCTACACTGCAAGTTTTTGCGGCAGAAAATATGCTAACGAGGGACTCATTAACATGAGTCGCGATGTCATTAGCATATTTTCTGCCCATTCTTTTTGTGCAAGGGGTTTTTGCACAAAAAGAAGCCGTGTAGCTGCTTCCGTTTTGGGCAAAAAAACCCTTTTGCGCAAGATCCTTATGTCTCTCCTTAACCTCTGAGGATAGGACAAGAAGCAATGGGATTAAATTGCAGCAAGGGAGATTTAGGTTGGACTTTCTGTCAGTGCGGTTAAACACTGGAATAAATTGCCTAGGGGGGTTGTAGAATCTCCATCACTGGAGATATTTAAGAGCAGGTTGGACAGACACCTGTCAGGGCTGATCTAGATGGTGCTTGGTCCTGCCGTGAGGGCAGGGGACTGGACTCAATGACCTCTCGAGGTCCCTTCCAGTTCCAGTGTTCTATGATGGATCTCTGCATATTGGCCAGTCTCTGTACTCTGCAGCCACGTTTCTGTTTGGAGAATGTATGCTGAAAGCTCTGGCATGTGTGTGTGTGAAATGAACAGCAGGCGCAGTCCTGCGAGGTGCTGAGTACCCTCAACTTGGAATAATTTCAGGGGGGATTTTTTCCAGATGCCTAATGGGCCTAGATGTCCAACTCCCCTTGAAATCCTAGCCCGGATCACCTGGCAGGATTGGGACCGATGGATCTTCCTCATCCAAGCAAAACTCCTACTTGTGTCCAATAATTGTGACAGGCGTCAGGAACCATTTCTACCTGGTGATTCTTGCTCGCATGTACAGTGATCTGCAGAGAGGATGGGAATGGAAAGGGGGCATTTAAAACCAACAATTCCTTTAGTACCAGCACCAGACTTTGTTTACAGATCATTATGTTCAGAGCTATAAATGAACGTCTGTGTCTAAAGACACGTTACTTTTAGGGGGTTATTTATCCCACAAACATTTGGAAAAGTAATATGCAGGTCTTCCTTCCCTCCCCACTGTTCTTCTGCAGAACATGCATTGGCATGACATATGGCATTGACAGAAGTAGACTAAATTGATTATCTTTATGAGTACCTAGTTAAATCTCTACTGATCTCCTTTTCGCAGAGGATTAAAGTGTGGTTTAGCCAATTGGATACTATAGATTCATTTACACTAATTGTTTTCACTCACTTTACTCCCGAAGTTCGGGGCAGGGGGAGAGAGAAATTATAATTTCTGCAGATTTAGCTTGGAGTGCATATGTGTGTATTTGTTATATAACACCCAGAGATGTACGTTTAACTAAAGAGGGAAGGGGCTAAGAATGGCAATTTTGGAAGTTACACTCTGAGGCTACGTCTAGACTGGCATGATTTTCCACAAATGCTTTTAACGGAAAAGTGCTGTCATATGGGTGGAAGTCGGGTCAATATTGCATGTTATTAATATCAGCAGAACTGACTTAAATGGGGCCTGTGTGTTGTGTAGTCTTGCCTTAATCTTTGTATTCATGCCTGCCAGTGTGAAGAAGCTATTTGCACGTCTATGCAACCACACTTAAGTTGCAGCCCGTGGCATGTGCTGTGAGTATCATTGTGGTCCCCAGGGCTTCCAAAGTTGAGTAGCTCTGATCTAGACGGTGCTTGGTCCTGCTGTGAGGTCAGGAGACTGGACTCAATGACTCTCGAGGTCCCTTCCAGTTGTAGTGTTCTATGTTTCTAAGACACAAAATGCTAATTCAGAGACCAGGCCCAGGTATTTGCCAGAGACAAACATCAGAATTTCTTCCTGAGAAACCCCCTCCCCTCTTTTCCTCCTCCAGCTTTGTCCCCACTTTCTCAGGACAGACTCCATCCAAGGCACAAGTTGGTAAGAGCCCCTCTACTCAGTTCAGTTATTCTGGGTCACTCGGTGACAGGAAAAACAAAGGAAAAGCTTATTCATGGAAAAAAATGAAATGGGATTTCCCTAAGCTGATTGCTGATTAAAAAACCCAACATTTCTACATTCATTTTTTTGTGTACAAAAACCATCTGTCAATATTTCAGTCTGACTCGGTCTCCCTGTCTTGTTGGAGCCGCTGCTAGATCAATAGCTGCCCATTTTCACGTGTGCCTGCCTAATCTTTTTAGTAAGCTCTGTGCTGGTTTCTTAAAAATGCCCCGTGGACTCTGTGTCCTCGCTGCCAACAGGCATCTTTGTGCTTGGAGATGCGCAGCTCAAATCCAGACTAGCAGTGTCCTGAGGCTAAGTCTACATTGGCACTTCCTAGCGTGGTAATTTTCTGGCTCAAGGGTGTGAACCAGGCTACAGCACCGGGAGCGAATCCCCTCGTGGAGGTGGTGTACATGGAGCTTCTAGATCAATAGCTGATCTACTTGGACCGCCTAGTTTGTGTGGTGGCCAGGATCACAGGAAAAAGCAGTTCATTGAGCTTCCTAGTAGGGATGTAAAATCCTGGTTAATCAGTTAACCAGTTAAACATTAGGTCGACCTAACATTTAACTAGTTAATCGACTAAGCGGGATCCAGGAGGGGGGACCACTCCAGCCTGGATGAAGTAGCTCATGGGGTTCCCATCCTTCGCCTTGCGCTGCTGCTAGCTCCTGGCTTCCAGCTGCCAGCCCCTGCCAGAGTAACCCCTGTCCACAGCGGGCATGGGCTCCCCACAGACTGAGGCTGCTCTGTGGGGTGCCTGGCCTGCTGCTGACAGGGGCTGCTCTGAAGGAAAGCGGCCCATACCTGCAGCGGTCCCCTGTGGGGCTGAAGCAGCCCCAGTCTGTGGCAGTCAGAGAGCTGCTCCAGCTGCCACCTGTTACTGGTGAACCGAAACGGGTTAACATCAGGTTAACCGGGTAACTTTTCACATCCCTACGTCCTCCTTCGGCACGATTCACCCTATGAAGGCATTTACCCCTGTGGCAGGGCCCAGCCATGTTCACCACAAGTCCTAGAACCGTGATACAGAGAGATACTTTGCCTTTCCCTCGCCCCTTGCCTGAGAGCATTTCCAAGAGCTTTGTAAACACGTCCCATCATAAGAACATAACATAAGAACATAAGAACGGCCGTACTGGGTCAGACCAAAGGTCCTTCTAGCCCAGTATCCTGTCTGCCGACAGTGGCCAGCACCAGGTGCCCCAGAGAGGGTGGACCGAAGACAATGACAATGATCAAGCGATTTGTCTCCTGCCATCCCTCTCCAGCCTCTGACAAACAGAGGCCAAGGACACCATTTTATCCCCTGGCTAATAGCCTTTTATGGACCTAACCTCCATGAAATTATCTAGCTTCTCTTTAAACTCTATTATAGTCCTAGCCTTCACAGCCTCCTCTGGCAAGGAGTTCCACAGGTCGACTATACGCTGTGTGAAAAAGAACTTTCTTTTATTAGTTTTAAACCTGCTACCCATTAATTTCATTTGGTGTCCATCCTGACACGTGGAGGTGGAAAAAGGACACCCCAACGGAGCCTGGATTGCACAATGACGCTCTAATCGATTCAGCCTCGGAACAGCAGGGTCATTATTTCCATTTTCAGGAGCGCTGAAAAATCCAGCTCTGAGGAAGCAGTAAATGGGATAGGGAACTAGGTGCCTCTTTAGCTTCTCAAGGTTGGGGGGGTTGGGTATGATTTTTGGTCCAATGCTATGTGAAGCTTCCGTTTATGAAAGGGTTAACAAATAAAAGTAACATTTTACTAACTGGTTACCCCATTGGTACAAAGTCCAGCAAATTGCTTATAGCTCGCTAACACACTTTCTTGTGGTGTGTTTATAACCCACTATAAAACGCTCTACTCCTATCAGTATCTCTGCTTCTAACGTGTGTTTGCTAATGGAATCTAATTGGAAATGCCAGTTTTGCTGGTCTGTTTTATAGGTGTGGAAGCTGACAGAGATCAGGTGATTTTCCACGGGTGTCTCAAATGGAGTTGGGAATAGAACAGAGGACTCTGACCGCCTACTTCTTTGCTCTTATCCCCATGACCATGCTTTTCCTCTGGTCTGCTGCTGTTTCCCAGGCTCCTAATTGGTTTGTTGCCGTTTAGTAAAACTTCTTGCTGAGAGTTCTGAGCACACCTTCAGGAGGAGGAATCCTAGACACGCGTCACCATTTTGTGACTCTGCATGGCTTCTGCCAAGTTGCTTTGCCCCTGCCTCTGTTTTCCCATCTGTAAAATAGGAATCATTATCCATAGACTGTAAGCTCTTCGCTACAGCGTGTGTGTGTGTGTGTGTGTGTGTGCGTGTGCGTGTGCGTGTGCATGTGCGTGCGTGTGTGTCTAGCACCTAACAAAATGAGGCCCTGATCTGGGCCTGTGGACAATATAAGCAGTAGCAAATTCATTACCTCACAGGTTTACTCATTCCTGTTTGTAAGGTGCTTTGAGATCCTCACATGAAAGGCATTCGAGAATCACAGTCTTATCGTTATGACAGACTGAAGCAGTTTTAGGCAGCGAGATTCTGGAGTCATGCAAAAGGTTTTCTGTGTCCATTTCTGCACTCGCTATTTCCTCAAGAGACTGGGGGAAGGGTTTCTAGTGACGCTACATGTAGCTTCCATCCTTTGCTCCCCCAGGGTTCATTGAGAAATGCAGAATCAGGCCCAGCATTGAAAGGCAAGTTGACACAAAATCCACTTTCTCCAAAGAGGGTACTTTGAAAAAGCCCTTGCTCATATTAAGGATGCTTCATGGTTGCCCACTTCTTCCAGATTGTATATACAATATTGGTATAAATCTAGCTTCTATTGATTTAATCCAAGACAAATTTGAGGTCAATTTCTGACCCCATTATACATGTTTTCTCGTTCACATTATATATAATTTGTAAGGATTTCTCGCACTCACATCTGACATCCAACGTGTATTTTGTTGTGGGCTTGTCACAGGCCAGAGAGACATCCAGCAAATCAAAGGACTCCCTCCATCGCTGATGCTCTTCCTGAAGCCTGGAATCAAGCCGAAATGATTTCACCCTCTCCTAGGCGAAGTCGCGGAGCATCTCTCAGTCATGGATTCGAATCCTGCGCGTTTCCAGCACGAAGGATCGGGATGCAAAAAGAAACTGAGGACAACTTGGGTAAGACGGGGTTTAACAAAGAAGGGTCTCATAATGCAGTAGTTATTGGTTGCATTGCTAAGGCACTTTGTAACGATACCCTAGGGTCTCGCCTGTCCTGCATGAAGGGAAGGTGACAATGCCAATTGTGACACGGGGTAGTCAGAGGTTTTTTGAATTGTTGATGTTTCCGCTAAAATGGTCATTGAAATGTCAAACTCTGGCACGCACACAAAAAGGGGAGGGGGAGAGCATGAGCTTTGTTGTGAAAAAAAACCCTTCCTTTTTTTTTGTAGCCAGCTGTAGCTGTAACAAACGTGTCTCATTGAGAAGAAGCGCACCGATTGTGCTACTGCTATTGTATTGTCGTATGCTTTTGTAGCCCCTGGAGGCTTTGTTGGAAGATCTCAAAAAGCTTTACGATGTAACCCTCCCAACACCTGCTTTGGTACACCCGGGACAGTTGTGCCGGTGGGGAAACTGAGGCAGGGAGCTTTTAAACAAGTTAACCAAGGTCAGTGGCCGAGGCAAGAGTTGAACTGAGGATTCCTGGGGGAAGGTTGATGCTGAACAGCGATGTCATTTGATACTCTAAATAAACGTTTGCATAGAGACAAGGGAAAGTCTGCCGTTGAAAGGGTTAAGGAGCAAACAATAGCAAGCGTGTGCGTTTGTCAGAGGAGACCTTGGCTTCTTTTTGCCAAACTGTAGCAGATGGTGCATTGTTTTGAGGGATTTTCGGAGACAAAAGAACAAGCCCAGATAATCTTTCTCCAAAGAGGGTACTTTGCTCTTATTAAGGATGCTTCCCTGTTGCCCCCCAAGATTTTATATGCAATATTGGATTTAGGAGGGGAGTGAGCAAATCAGCATGATTTATTTGGCCTCATCCTCAATCTCCAACCAATAGGAAGGGCAGTTCAGATGTTTGGAGACTAAGTCTCTTGTCTGCAGCGTTTCTCGTTGAACGAAGGGTGTTTCACTCACCCGGCATTAATGGGCAAGGGCCTGATGTTGCAATCTCTTGATAAGCGAGGAAAGCCCCCTGCCACCTATAGTTTGACGACGATAGAAACTTCTGCCTGGCTTGTATACGGGATAAAAGTCTTTGCAAGCCCCGAGCATTTGCAGAGATAGAGGCCGTTGGTCTGAACCCAGCCTGCGTCACAGCTTCCTCGGGAAGGCAAGGTCTTGTCATTTTTAGGGACGCTATAGATTTGAAGAACAGGTCACGAAGAGCAATGCTTACCCCGCTGGCAGATGGGGGGTGCATACGCAGGAGGGCTAACGGAGTTGCTGGTCCTCTGGCTAGGGTGCTCGGAAGGGGCAGGACCATGGGTGGAAAGGGCAGGGGCTGAGGCCTACCCTTCTGAGGGCTCCCCTTCTCCCGCCAGCCCTCCAGCGCCCGGAGACTGCTACTGGCGCTCCAGCAACTGACCCGCTTCCTCAGATCAAACTGTATCCCTTTGGTATATATGGTCGTGCCAATTTTCTTCCACAATCAAAAAAATGTGAACACATATAAAAGCTATTAGGGGTGATAACTGCCCATTACAAAGATAGCTTCCCCAATTATCACCCCTAATAGCTTTTATATGTGTTCACTTTTTTTTGATTGTATCCCTTTCGTATGTATGGTCGTGCCAATTTTCTTCCACTATTTGATCTGAGGAAGTGGGTCTGGCCCACGAAAGCTCATCATCTAATAAACCATCTTGTGAGTCTGGTCTTGCTGAAACAAAAGACAGGACCATGCAACTTTAAAGACTCACAAGATGGTTTATTAGGTGATGAGCTTTCGTGGGCCAGACCCACTTCCTCAGATCAAATAGCGGAAGAAAATTGGCACGACCATACATATGAAAGGGATACAATAAAAAAAAAAGTGAACACATATAGAAGTTATTAGGGGTGATAATTGGGGAAGCTATCTTTGTAATGGGCAATTATCACCCCTAATATCATTATTTCATAGACACTAACCTCCCCCCTGATCCTCCCTCTGTTCTAAAATCTGATTTGTTAATTTTATCTGTGTTCGCATTTTTTTGATTGTATCCCTTTGGTATATATGGTCGTGCCAATTTTCTTCCACAGTTTGATCTGAGGAAGTGGGTCTGGCCCACGAAAGCTCATCCCCTAATAAACCATCTCGTTAGTCCTTAAAGTTGCATAGTCCTGTCGTTTGTTTCAGCAAGACCAGACTAACACAGCTACATCTCTATTATTAGTCAACAAAAATCTGTGGAAACTGGGACTCTCTTTTGCAGAAAAGCGTGCAAGTCAGTTCTGCAGTGCAGCTTGCATAATGAGGCGCAATTATAGAGATCACTCCAAAATGTAAATATTTATCTGTAACATATGTATACACCCCCCGAGTGCTAATTGCTCCTGGGTAATTCTGAAACTCTTCTGCTGCGTCTAGATTGGCATGATTTTCCGGAAATGCTTTTAATGGAAAAGTTTTCCGTTAAAAGCATTTTCGGAACAAAGCGTCTAGATTGGCACGGACGCTTTTCCGCAAAAGCACTTTTTGCGGAAAAGCATCTGTGCCAATCTAGACGCGCTTTTCTGCAAAAAAGCCCTGATCGCCATTTTCAGGATCGGGGCTTTTTTGCGGAAAACAAATCTCAGCTGTCTACACTGGCTCTTTTGCGCAAAAGGGACTTTTGCCTGAACGGCAGCAGAATAGTAGCAAGTCAGTGCTTTTGTGGAAATTCAAGCGGCCAGTGTAGACAGCTGGCAAGTTTTTCCAGAAAAGCGGCTGATGTTCCAGAAAAACTGGCCAGTCTAGACACAGCCTTCAAGTATACAACAGAAGGCAGCAGAACAAGTGGGAGCTTGCAAAATAGCTAATAGTGTTAATATTGGTCACCTAGAGTTAAGAGAAAGAGCCCATCCCTGGCTCTTGACACGTCAAGGTTTCCTTATAAAATCCACAGCCCCTCTCAAATACAATGGACTGCCCACTTCATATAGACAAGTGGTTCTCTCTGACAGACCCCCAGCAAACGCCACAAGGACTTACTGGGAAGATGTCCAGTGGGAAGCAACCCTTGTCTTTAGTAGACACACACACCTGTCCATTTAGGCAGGAAACAGAGGGCGCTGCAACAGTTTTCAACCTTTTTTTCTCATGACCCAGTTGAAGAAAATGGTTGGTGCCGCGACCCAACATCATGTGACTAGATTGTGGGCTGTGGGGCGGGGCTGAGGACGAGAGCTTTGGGGCGTAGGAAGGGGCTTCGGCTTTGGGGGTTGGTCAGGAGGGGCTGACCTCGAGTGGCTCCCAGTCAGTGGTGCAGCGGGAGGAGCTAAGGCAGCTTTCTGCCTCTCCTGGCACCGCAGACTATGCTGTGCTCCAGAAGCAGCCAGCAATAGGTTTCCAGCCAATGGGAGTGCAGGGCCAGTGCTCAGGGCAGGGCAGTGCATGGAGCCCTGTGCATTCCCCCCAGACCCCACACCCTTAGGAGCTGGGCCTGCTGCCGGCTGCTTCTGGGGTGCAGCGCAGTCTGCAGTGCAAGACAGGCAGGGAGCAGCCTTAGCCCCCCCACCCCCACTGCTCACCTGATCCCCGGCAGCAACGGGACCTAGCGCCCGACATTCCATGACCCAGTGCTGACCGGGTCGTGACCCGTAGGTTGAAAGCCACTAAGCTGGTAAGGAAATAGTCTCCCGATTCCGATTAACACCAGCCACCTGTCTGCAGGGTCCTGGGCTGCATTTTAATTTGGGGGCAGCCCCACTGCAGCACGAGGCCAAGGTGGGAACACACACTAAAAGGTCACTGAAAAATGGCAGCCCCAGACGTCGTGCTCTTTATTGCCCTTGTTTCAGGAAAAACTCCAGCAGCTCAAATGAGTTTTGCCTGCACAGGAGCCGACCCTGGAAGAGTACACTAATGCTACACAACAGCATTATTTCAAAATGTCTAATTTCAAAACAGTTCATTCGAAATAGCTTATTTCAAAATAACACGTCTACACACAAAATGCATTTCAAAATAGCGTTTTTCTATTTCGAAATAGCACGTCCACACTGGGTGGACGTTGAATCGCATTTAAGGCTGGTTGGAACCGGTTCTGGCAGGGCATCAGGTCAGAAGTTACCTTGTGGCCCGGGCGGCCAGCAGGGCACCCTGGAAAGCGCCGGAGGCCCCCTATTTCGAAATAGCACTTATTTAGTCTACACAGCGCTTATTTCTAAAATAGCAGTTTCGAAATTGGCGGTATTCCTTGTGGAATGAGGTTTGCCAATTTCAAAATAAGCCCTCCGCTATTTCGAATTAATTTCGAAATAATGGAATGGCTGTGTAGACACTAGGAAAGTTATTTCGAAATAACTTTGCCGTGTAGACATACCCGAATTGTTTATAAGATTTAAATAATCCGCGCTGGACCAAATCTTGTGCCTGTTGAAATCAGCGGGGCTGGACCCAGAATGCCACCTTAAATATGCAGCCCACAAAAGCTAACGTGTATATAGCGGAGGCACTAACAGCAGGTGAGCACACAAGGCCCTATCTGCGCACAGTGTCTGCACTTCTGTAACTACATTGGTTTAGAAACAGATGTAAGTACAGGTCGAACCTCTCCTGTCCGGCCCCCGTGAAACTGACCGGGGCCAAACCAGAGAATCTGCTGGACCCCGGGAGGTTGCTATTGTCTAGCAGCATCACCAACACTGCTACTGCTTCCTGGGCTCTTAGAAGACATCGAGGAGTCAATTAGACTAAATCACAGCACCAAACACTGAGTGCCTGGACTGGTGGCTGTAACCAAACTTTATGGGACTGCGGGAAACTTGGTCACACTCCTAATAAACGGGCATCCAGCTAACTCCAGTCATGCCAGACCACGGATGTTGCCAGACCAGAGTGTGCTGGACTAGACAGGTCCAACCAGTATATCACAGTGTGGACAGAGATACACTATCATAAAGGTATAGCTTATCTATTATCTAGGTTAACATGCATGTTATTTAACATAGCGTCTCTTAGATACCTAAATCCCCTTTGAAAA